AAACAAAGCACGCGAGCGGGGCGAATCTCATCGGGAGGTCCTCTAGGGTGCGGGCGCCGTCGAAGGGATTTCGTCCAGGTGATGGACGCGTCGAGCGGTAGGCCCAGAGTAGGGGGCCGCGTGGGCGGCTCAAGCCGTCGAGGCTGATGACGGCAGCGGCGCTGTCATCGCTGCTGAGGACTCCGCCGCGCTTCGACTTGCGCCATTGAGAAGACCCGCAGCACCAAGCCGAGCCGGTCGCTAACGCCGGTGCGGACGAAGGCGCGAGAGAGATAAGTCCGCACGGTCGGGATCGTCAGCGACAGCTCGGCGGCGATCTCTTTGTCCTGCCGGTTGCAGAGGATCAGCTCGACGATCCGCGTCTGCTGCGGGGAGAAGCCCAACTTGTCGGCAACCCTCTGCCAAGTCGCGCTGTCCATCGGGAACGCAAGCGCGTCGCGATCGCAGGCGAGAGGCGTTGGAGGGTTGGCCATCGCGGAGGTCCCGAAACAGGGCGTCGAACCGTGGCCGCTCCGCGAACCCCTGCAACAGGGCATGAAGAACGCACCTCCGGCCGACGCCCCTTTCGGGGCGCGGCTCAAAGGCGCTGCTCTTCAAGTGAAAATGTTGCAGTTTTCGCGGAAGCAGCGTCTTGACGCTCGCGCGTCAAAATCGAATTGTCACGCGGGGTGTGCCTACACAACTCCGCGTGAGTGAAGGATAGACGCTGCGGGGCCGTAGGCAAACAGGCCTAAATCCGTTCGCGGTCGCGCGGAGATCGGAAAGCTTTGCGGGATATAGCGGGCGGCCGCCGCGACATGTCGAGAGAACTCTCGAATTCGGTCGCTCCGTAGGCGCTTCACCGCGTTACCCTGCCCGCACTCATCCACCAACCCCGCCCGAGGACTGCGATGATCGGCAGGATGGCGTTGGCCTTCTTTGGCGCATTCGGCATTACCGTGGCGCTCGGCGTGCTTGCGCTGCCAGACCCTCGCACTGCGCTGTTGACAACGGCGGTCGATAACGGACCCGTCGAAGTAACGGCGGTCGCCCAGACGGCCGATCCAAGCGTTACGCCTCCGCTAGTCGATGAAGAGGCGGAGCTGCTGGCGGGTATCGACCGGCTCGCCGCCCACCCAGCGGACCCCGACAACCCACCGGGCGTCCGCGGCCTGTCCGACGCCATGCTCCGCGCCCGGCCTACCGCGGAGATTGAGGCGCTCATCAGCGACTGCCGAGCGGCGGCCTACGCGCAGAGCGGAACGGGACGTTACCTCTTCGCCCTCGGCAGGGCGGCCTACCTGCATCAACTGACGGGCCCGGCGGGCGCGCTGCTCAAGGAGGCTTCGCAGCGGGGCTCGGCGGCGGCCTCGGCTTACCTAGCGCTATTGCAAGGGACGAGCCCCCAATCCCAGGAGCTGCTGCGGCAATCGCTTGCCGGCGGGTTTGTGCCGGCCGCGGCTTGGCTCGCCCTCGAGCCGGCGGCCGCCGCACCGGCGCAAGCCGTCGAAGAACACGTCCCCCTCGACTACGACCAGTTCCGCAACCCCACCTATCTCCGCGCCCTCGCGGAAGGGAACGTCCGGGTGCTCTACAACGCGGGCTTGCCGGCTTTCAATTATCTGTGCGGCGTGGCGGAGGGGTTTGCGGACGACCAGACCCTCTACCTGCTGGATGAGCAGAGCCGGCTGAAGTTCCGTTCGCTCCAGCGTCCCGAAATCTCTGAGCGGCTCGGGCAACGGATGTTCCGCAACCCCGAGTTCATCCGCGAGGCGTCCGAGGTCGGCATGAATACCTTCACCGACGCGTTGAAGGGGATGGTGGAGGTGCGGCGCCGCGGCGGATCGCTCTCCCAAGAAGTGGCCGCACTCGGCGCCGCCCAGCAGCGTTCATCAGCGATCGCGGAGCAGCGTACGCTGGGCGGTCACGACGGCAAGACCCTCGCGCTGTCGGTCGGGGCTCACTACGAAGAGGTGAAGATCATCATCGAGAACCTCGAGTCCTACGCCACGGATGGGAAGGCGGTCCATCGGCCCAATCTGTCGATGCCTGGGTCCAAGGAGTCCGTCAGCACACGGTACTCTCCCGACGAGGACTATCGCCGCGCCAGAGCGGCGTTGAAGCCTTGACGGGCCTCGCTCGACGCCGACGGCCGAGCGGTCCGCTGTCCCGTAGTCGCCACCGAACGTTCTGATATGGCTTTGCCTCCTCCTTTGCTCGCTGCCGCACGACACCGCGCTCAAGCGGCGTCTCTGGCGCTAATTGCCGGCCTTGCGTCGGTCGCCGTCACCGCGGAGCCCGTCCGCTTCCCCGGCTTCCGGGCGTGGCTCCCCGAACAACGCGGCCTTGGGCTCTCCGCGGAGTCGATCGTTATCAACGACCGCCTGCTGGACCGCGTCTACATGGACGAGCTGATCCAGGACCGGTTCAAGCAAGACAGTGAAGAGCTGCGGTTTGAAGACGCCGACGTTCAAGCGGCCGATCTCGATTCGAGGCTGCGCCCGACCGGCATCATGGGGCCCGAGATCGCCAAGGCGTGTTTCGCTCGTTTCGAAGCGCTCCGTGAACAGAGAGGGATCGAGGCGGACGAGGTAGGGAGGGCGATGATGGAGGGCCGACTGAACCCGCACCCCAACGACCTCTACTGGGCTCTTCGCGGCTCGTACGACGCCCAGCCGGGCGACGCGCTCTTGTACGCACGACAAGCGATCGCCACGAAGATTTGCCGGCGCGCCGCCGAGATCAGCGGCGGTCTCTGGGGTCAGTTACTTAACGACGGTGTTCTCGCCGCCGACCCCCCGGACCGTGTCCTACGGCTGCCCGATCTACGCCCCGACCGCCTCACGCAGGCCCACTTCGACGCTCTGATCGCCGAGCACATCCTCCAGCACAAGTACGCGCACGAGGTCCGGCTGGCCGTCTGGAGCGAGAGATATGGCGACATGCGTTCTTGCATCGGGGTGAGGACCGTCATCGACGGGAAACCCGCTGTCTTCGACGCCAAGTTGCACAAGGCTTGGACGAACCGGTTCATCCCTCCTTTCGGCAACAACGTGCTCGCTTACTTCGGGCCCTCGGGCGACCTGTATTGGCAGGAGAACCACCAAGTCGACTACGCGGCGCTAAGACGCAAGTACCTCGCCGGTCTGCAGCGTCAAGCGCTCGCTTCCCTCAAGCAATAGGATCGCCCCATGGCGCGCAAATGGTACTACGCGAACGCTATGCGAGAACAAGCCGGGCCACTGAACGACGCGCAGCTCAAGGAGCTTGCCGACGGCGGCACGATCGACCGACAGACGCCCGTCTGGACCAAGGGGATGGACGGCTGGATGCCGGCGGTGACGGTCAACGGACTTTTCCCGAAGCCGCGTGCGAGTTCCCAGTCGGACGTCCCGCCGCCGCTGCCCAGCGTCGCGACACCGGCAGCAGTCCAAGCCGATCCTGAAAAAATGAGTGCGAACCGACGCCCTGTCGCGGTGAAGGACGTAGCGGACGCTGCTCGCGGAGCGGCCGCGCAGCGTGATCCACGAGACGTAGCGGCGAACGACGAAGCTCCTTCCTTCCTGCTAACGTCGCCGTGGTTGCAGCGGAGCCTTTTGGCAAGCGCCGCCATCGCCGGCGTGGCGGGCGGCCTCTGGGCGCTCCAGCTCCTGGGAAGGCTCTGAGAACGGCCTCGTCGCGTCGATTGGACGGCCGTTGTAGATACGGCTGATCGCGTTCAGGACGCGAAGCGATTTGCATACGCGAGTAGGCGGGTGAGGCCTTTGGTTGACCGACGCGTGGCGTCGTGGCATGGGTGACGCCATTCAACCAAAGACAGAGGAGGCCGCCATGCGCGCACAACAGAACGCCGAGCCCGCCCTTCGGGGCAGGCCGGCATGACATCCACCAACAAGGCAATCGCTAAGCGCGATATCTACCAAGAGGTCACCGACAGGATCGTCGCGATGATGGAGGCGGGGACGCCGCCGTGGCGTCAGCCGATCAAGCGAACCGCCGGCGGTGATGGGACTCCACGGAGCCTCGCCTCGGGAAAACCTTACCGCGGCATCAACGTCTTCCTACTGGCGATGACCGCCTGGGCCCACGGCTACGACTCGAGCTACTGGGCCACGTTCAATCAGGTCAAAGTGCAGAAGGGGACGATCCGCAAGGGGGAGAAGTCAACGCTTGTCGTCTTCTGGAAGCAGGCGGCAATGACCGACAAGGAGACTGGCGAAGAACTCTCGATCCCGGTGCTGAGGCACTACAACGTCTTCAACGTGGAGCAGTGCGAGGGCGTTGTGGCGCCGGACCAAGTGGATGCGGGGGCCGAAGGAGTCTTGTTCGAGCCGATTGAGGCGGCGGCGAGAATCGTCGAGGGGTACGGTGATCGGCCGGCGATTGAACACGGCGGTGGTATGGCCGCTTATTTCCCCGGTCCCGACCTCGTGAAGATCGCCCAGCCGGAGCGCTTTGAGAGCCGGGAGTCGTACTACGCGACGCTCTTCCACGAGCTGGTGCATTCGACGGGGCACGAGAAGCGGCTCAAGCGGGGGATTGGTCAGCGGCTGGCGCCGTTTGGGTCGCCGGACCACTCGAAGGAGGAGTTGGTGGCGGAGCTGGGGTCGGCGTTCTTGTGCGCCGCCTCGGGGATCAGCCCGCCGACGATCGAGCAGGCCGCCGCTTACGTGGACGGCTGGACGCGGGCTCTGAAAGGAGACAAGCGGCTGGTGGTCCAGGCGGCCGGGCAGGGACAGCGGGCAGCGGATCACGTGCGTGGAGTGAGCTTTGAGGCGCCGGAGGCCACTGTCTAGTAGGAAACCTCTAACGCGCTAGATCGCATGTTCTTCGCTGCTTAGAATGCCCATCCGCCCGGGAGCGACTTCTTTCCCGGGCGTTTTGATTCAGGGTAAGGATGCCCGGCCTGCGGCTCGGCCTTCACGAAAGAGTGGGGGCGACAAGTGGGGCGGACCCAGCCGAAACGCATTGCCTCCACGCCTGCAATTAGGTGGAGGCGAAGATCGATTCTGAAGGAAACGATGATCTATCGAGCGGACCTCACCGCGGGTTCCCTGAAAGTAACCGAGAGCCGTATCATTGCCGACCTTCTTCTCAGGAGGTGCGATGACGCGGCTTGGAAGTCAGCATTGGAAAGCGACAACGTCTTGCAAACTCGCTCACCGGCGACCGCGCGGCGGATGGGCAGGCTTATTCGCAACCGATTAGAGACGATGACGCCGGACTTGTGGGAGCTTGTTCGAGACGGCAGTCCCATAGTGGCCACTCACGCCTGCCTGGCTGCTGCCGTAAACCAGAGCAGGCTGTTAGCGGACTTTTTGCAACTTGTCGTAAAGGAACAAGTGAGAGTCTTCTCGTCTACGCTACCTCAATCGCTCTGGTACGATTTCATCGCCAATTGCCAAGCAAGCGACCCGGCGATGCATTCATGGAGTGCGGCTACGCTCAATAAGCTAAGGACCACCATCTACCACATCTTGGAGCAGTCGGGCTACATCGACGGCACGAGGACGCTTCGATTGCAGACTGTGCATATCGCCGACGAGGTGGCGGATTACCTCAACAAGCACGGCCATCTCGGGGTCTTGCGCTGCATTCGGGTGACGCATGAGTGATGCGCTAAATGCGAGATTGAACGCGATCTTACCCAAGGTGACTTCGCTCGATTTCTTGGGCGGCCAGGGCATTGGCAACGAGATCCCGTTCTACGTTTTCGACTATCCCGCAGAGGACGAGCTGAGGGTGCGGGAACACCTCGCCTTCTTAACCCACAAACTTCCCAAACAGGCTCCGGGCCTGAAAACGATCCACGTCAACCTCTTTGACTTTCTCATCGAGATGGTCAAGGAACGAGGAAAGTTTGAGCAGTGGCTCACTATCGAGCGTGAGCAGGGGAGCAAAAAGGCACTGAAGGCGGTCGCCGCTATGCTCAGGGCCGAAAAGCTCGCGAGCCGCTTCGCCCAGGTAGTAATGAGTCAACAACCCGGCTTAGTGCTGGTGTCGGGCGTGGGATCAGCTTACCCGATCGTCCGAACCCACGAATTGCTGAACAATCTGCATAAGCATATGGGGCTGACGCCGCTGGTGCTCTTCTACCCCGGCGTTTACGACAAAGTCACCCTAAAGCTGTTCGGTAAAGCCAGCCTCGCCTTCGACTCGTCGTCTGCCGACCGCAAACGCAACGCTCGCTACTACCGCGCCTTCCGACTGATCGATTGAAATGACGAACTTGACGATTAGCGAACTGTTCAAGAGAGAAATCGCACGCCCCATCAACGGCGTCGTGAAGGCGGACCAAATGGACGGTGAGTCCATATGGCAGGAGCTCGACGAATTCGTCGTCACCAAGGAAATCGACGGGCACCTCCGTACGTTCTTCGGGTGCTACTGCGAGGCCATCGATGCGCCCAACAATCCGAGCTTATCGGGCAAAATAGGTGTTTGGGTCTCTGGCTTCTTTGGTTCGGGTAAGTCCCACTTCATCAAGGTGTTGTCTCACCTATTGGCAAACGATGAGCACGTTTT